CGCAGCCCCAGCCCAGCTCCAGAGGAGCCACTGCATGGCACTGGCAAAGCACCACTGTCCATCCTTCCCTCCAGGGCTTTGCTGTCAGTCACAGCCTGTGGTGCCCTTGCTCCAGGATTGTCAGGGTGGAAGCACACCTCTTTTCCAGACAGCCCCAGAAGGAGGTGGCACGCTGCAGTGCTGTGACAATCTGCACTGGAGCAGGAGAGGTGCCACGTGCTCTCCTCCCCCAGGAGCTGCTGGCCCTACCTGCCCCTGCAGAGCCAAAGCAGGCACCTCCAGGCAGGAGCAGGCCAGGACTCGATGGAAACCTGGCTCCCGTGCACAGACAGGGGCCCTGCGGGCTGTTAGGCAGTGCTGCAGCAGTGGGGGAGGCTGCATGACCTCCTCCCCACAGCCTGTGACCAGGGCAGGGCTGCACCCAGGGCCAGCAGCCCTGCCACACCAGCAAGGAGTGCAGAACAAGGTCAATGACTTGTGAGCCTAGCACCCTGGCCTCCTCCTGCAATCCAAGAGCCTAATTCATCCCTTTGAAAGGGGTGGACCACAGACCCATTCCATCTAAAGGAGGAATCTGTCTCAAAGCAGACAGGACTTTGGTCAGGCCCTTCGCTCCTACCCATCTGCAGCCCCAAACTTGCACTCAAAACCATGCATGGAAGACTTGCAAAGGCTTCACAGAGAAAAGCATGAAGACTTGTGAGTGTTTGACGTTACAAAGCATTGTATTGGTACCTCTCTATTCACTGCCTATTCTCCCTGGTGAAGTGACCCAAGTCCACTCATTCCCATGCATCTCTGTACAGTGCAAGCTGTGATCAAGCAGCTGGTCAGGTCCCTGGAGCAATGGGCTATAGCAGTTACCCCTGCTCAGCACCAGGAAAGAAGGGAACTGTGCCCTGCTGTCCAGGGGAGAAGCTGGCTTAACAGAGCTGCCCACTCTGTTTTGCTTTGCTTACCTAACTGGCACTGCTGGGAGCAGCTGGACACCTTTACATTGGATCAGTTTACCCTCCTCGGCTGAGCAGCATTCCCCCCTGCAGCAGATAGAGCTGCCCTTCTGTCTGGCTTCACACATCAAGCTGTGAGGAGAAGCGAGCCCTGACGCCACAGGATGCCTTGGTGCAAACCCAGTCATACGGCCAAGCTGTTCGGGAAGGAGAGCAGCACAGCGGAGCTGCGCAGAACAAGTTCAGCTCGCAAGGACTGAAGGAGGCACTGGTGTGTTTCAGGCTGGGAAAAGCCTTCAGGCTTTTTTTCCTGGTGGATCCAGGAGCTCTGAACAAGCAGCTAACTCTTTGGTGCCTTTGTTTCCTCTGAGAAGGTCCTGTTACAATGAGCGAAGGCAAAACACATACTAAATGCTCCAAGAGTCCTGTATAAGACGATGACATGCAGTTGTTCAGCAGGGCAGAGTGCACACACAACAGGAAGATGGCCAAGAGCTCCTCCCCAGAGTGAGGTACCAGCCATGCTCTCCCGTCTACATTCAGGTGGGAAAAGATGCTCAATGGCTCCTGCCATCCCTCAGAGCGAACAGCTGAGGCTGCTTTTCCCATGGCTGCTCAGGAAGCTTCTGAACCAGCTTCCTGTGCTGGAGCCCTGAGACAGCTCTGGTTTCTAACTGGCTGCCAGATGCCGTTCAAGCTGTCCTGCTTCGGAGATGCAGAGAGCTGGATTGCTGCTGCCAGAGCATTGCCATACTCAAAACTGAGGGAAGCACTGGTTCCTGG